AGAGGAGCTAAGAAGGAAGGAAGGAAAGGAGGGAGGGGAGGGATGCAGCCCTGACCAGCCCACCTGAGACCCCTTCAGAGCCCACCATAGACAGTCTCAGATGGGCTGTGCAGCATCTATGGTGGGCTCTGCAGGGTCACTCTCAGGTGGGTCCAGTGTCCAGCGCGTCACTAAGCCCTGCGTCCAGCACATCACTAAGCCCTGCATCCAGCGGTGCGGTGGGGGGGCCTGGCCTAAAGCCGTGTAAGGGGCCCCAAAATTTCTGATGGCTGCCCTGGGCATGGAGCATTAAAAAAAATGGTCCCACACAGCCCAAAGCACCAAGGCAAGCCCCTTTCCCAATCAATAGAACCCCCTCCACAGCCAAGGTCCATAGTCAGTGGGAAGGAGGCCGGCCTGCAATCCTCTCCAAATAGCAGAGTAACAGAGGCTTCCGTCACAGGATGAACCTTCAGGTCCGGTGATAGGGTAAGACGTACCGCGGCTTGATTGATAATCTCTTGTATTGGAAAAGTCCCAATAAAAAGTTTGCTGAATTTCTCAGTGGGAGTTTTCAAGTTAATATTACTTGCGGAGAGCCAAACTAACAAAGTTACTCACTAAAAGGTGAAGAGTTTGGAGAAGGCCGGAGAAGTGAACAATCTAGGACAACAGAGCTGAGCTGGACAGTGAGCTGAGTTGGAGAATTTGTTGTCCTAGATTGTTCCCTTCTCCGGCCTTCTCCAAACCCTTAGTCCTCGGTAGCTGGATTATTAGTGTGGATGAGATTTGGTGGAAAGGGAGTCGGGGAAGATTGGTGTCTGATTCGTAGAGGAACTGAGAGAGTTATTATAGGAGAATTCTGCTAAAGGGAATCATCCAAACCACCCGGCTAAAAACATGCAACTGGAGAGGGAGGAGAGGAGTGACATGGGCTTCTGCTATTGGCCGGTGGGCGGGGCCGTAGTTCTCATACGCTCCGCACCCGGCCACAGAACGGCTGAGTACATCACATGTGTGTGCATAAGGGGACGTTTTCACTTTCCACTGACCAGCCATGTAAAGAGAATTCTTCACACTGACCACCAGAGTAATGGCGCCCATCTACACCGACCACCAACCTCTGCACTCTGCATTGCTCCCTCATGATCCCTGTGCTGCCCTGACAACAATGTATACGGCTCTGCCAGCCAGCCGGCCAAGGTGACCCCAGTCAGTTCTGTATGATAGGCTTAGCAGACTCCTCTTTCCAATGCTGGCAGAAGTGATACGGCGCGCGCCTGAAAACCTTTTAAAGACTCTTGCTGTATCCAGCTTGTGACAGGTTATGCCAAATGTCTTAAACAGGAAGGGGCGGGGCAAATTTAGATTGGGGGTGCCCAAGTTTAGTCTTGCCTAGGGCAGCACAAAGCCAACATACAGCACTGGACATAGAATGGAAGGAGATATCATTTAATATCGGAGGGGGCGGAATTATAATGTAACTATAACGTATCATCTCCCTGATGATTGATCTCACTGTTCTGATCACATCAATAATGTCTTGGACGGTGTGATCAGCAGATCTCTCCCCTCCCTCCTCTTCTTCCTGCTCTGCACACGGAGATATCTCAGGAAACCTCCTCTGACTCCCTCCCTCTGACACATCTATTGGGTTTCGTTTCTCTCTCTTGCAGTCAGCGATGGCGTTTTCTGATGCCAGGAAGGAGCTGGACTGTTCCATCTGTCTGAACATTTATACTGATCCTGTAACTCTGAAATGTGGACACAACTTCTGCTGCTGTTGTATAGAACGTGTGCTGGACACACAGGGGAGGTCTGGACTTTATTGCTGTCCTGAATGCAGAGAAGAGTTCCAGGAGAGACCTGAACTTCTCAGGAACATCACACTGCGTAATATAGTGAAGAGTTTCCGGTCTACAGAACCAGAGCAGAAGGAGATGGAGATCTTGTGTACGAATTGCATTCACTCTCCTGTACCTGCTGTGAAATCCTGTCTGCATTGTGAAGCTTCTCTGTGTGACAATCACCTGAAAGTCCACAGCAAGTCCCCCCAACATGTCTTATATGACCGCACCAATCCCCAGGAGGGCAGGAAATGCTACATCCATAAGAAGATCCTGGAGTATTACTGCTCCGAGGACTCTGCCTGTCTCTGTGGGTCCTGCAGGCTGCATGAAGACCATCAGGAACATCAGGTGGAGACCCTGGAGGAGGCCTCTGAGAAGAGGAAGGAGAACCTGACCAATGCTTTGCAGAAATTGGTGAAAGAGAGAGAGGAGATGGAGCAAAGCATCGAGAGTCTGAAGAAGTACAAAAGAAAAGTACAAGACAGTGCAGCCGGTGTAACCAAGAGAGTCACCACCCTGGTCAGAGACATCAAGAGACAACTGGACACCCTGGAGAGGAAAGTACTGAATGCAATCTGCAGACAGGTAGAGAAGGACTCGTTCCCAGCCTCTGATCTAATCCAGGAGCTGGAGATAAAGAAGGATGAGCTGTCCAGGAAGATTCATCACCTTGAGGAGATATGTAACATGACGGAGCCACTGAGTGTCCTACAGGAATCAGACACAGGTGACTTGTATGATATAGAGGATGGAGATGACGAGGACATAGCGTTGGATAATGAACTCCTTCATGGTGGACGGGATCTGGATGTGGCTGAGATCTCACACACGTTATATACAGGTTTATCTGACATCATAACAGGGGTATACGGAGGGAACTATATACTGGAACCTGCTGATGTATTATTGGATGTAGACACAGCTCATAATTATCTTCATATATCAGATGACAAGAAGACGGCACGCAGGGTGGAGAGAAACCAGAATCGCCCCAATACACTACACAGATTCCGGGGAGTGACAGGAAGCAAAGTAATGATACCTCAGGTGATGAGTAGTCAGAGTTTCTCCTCAGGGCGACATTACTGGGATATGGATGTTGGGGATCATCATACTGGAGAGTTGGGGTGTGTTACTCCGATATAAACAAGAAACACAGCAGGTCAGAGCTTGGAATGTATGTGTCCTGGTGCCTGACGAGGAATTCCAATAAGTTATCAGTAAAATATAACAATAAATCCGTCACTTTATCTGGTAATTTCCTGATAACCAGAGTCAGGATATATCTGGATTATGAGGCCGGGCAGATCTCTTTTTATGAGTTGGGTGTCCCCATCCGACACCTCCACACTACTACCCAAACCTTCACCAAACCCCTCCATGCTGCGTTATATGTAGGGGAAGGTTGTATAAAGATATGTAGACGGAATCAGGAGATGTGATATGTTTGCCCGGAATAAAAGCAAATCTCAGTGTGGTTCTACCCTAAATCTTTTCCGTGTGGTTACGGTAACAGTATCATGTATATAGACAGAATCATTCTGAGCTCTCATACGATTTCTCTTTAACTTACTCACTGCTTTTCCCAGAAGCTTGCACAGCGTTGCAGATTCAATGGCAGCCATCCTCTGCAGTGTTTTAGCATTACTGCTCCCTCCCTGGTGGGATAAATGCAATGTATGCTTTGTGCTAATAAGGGGATGAGTACAGGAGGGATGATTATTTGTCAGCGGGTTAGAGGCAGGAGTCTGTATGCGAGGTAGCCACCCATACTAAGGTGCTCCTATCCAAGTAGCAGGAATGCTATACGCTCACCTTGGAGTAGTGGCAACCAGGACACATAGGCAGGCTATCCAAACCAGCAGGCAAGTTCGTAGTCTAGACGTAATAGCAGATCAGGGCAGGCAGCAATACAATCGAGGTCGAGTAACAAAGCAAAGGGTCAAAATACCAGGAAGTCATACGAAAGGTAGGTAACGCAGGCAAGGGACTACTAGAGACAAAGCTCTGCAATAACCAAGCGCCATTTTGTGGAGGAAGTTGGTATTTATAAGCACATGTGGTTCTGTGATGTCACAGGAGGAGGAGGAGGCTTTGGCTTCACTATTATGCACTGTGTCTGCACGTTCCACTGACAATATACTGTTGTCAGCAGCAGGGGGCGCCAGAGGCATTACTGGAAGGTAATTTCCTGATAACCAGAGTCAGGATATATCTGGATTATGAGGCCGGGCAGATCTCTTTTTATGAGTTGGGTGTCCCCATCCGACACCTCCACACTACTACCCAAACCTTCACCAAACCCCTCCATGCTGCGTTATATGTAGGGGAAGGTTGTATAAAGATATGTAGACGGAATCAGGAGATGTGATATGTTTGCCCGGAATAAAAGCAAATCTCAGTGTGGTTCTACCCTAAATCTTTTCCGTGTGGTTACGGTAACAGTATCATGTATATAGACAGAATCATTCTGAGCTCTCATACGATTTCTCTTTAACTTACTCACTGCTTTTCCCAGAAGCTTGCACAGCGTTGCAGATTCAATGGCAGCCATCCTCTGCAGTGTTTTAGCATTACTGCTCCCTCCCTGGTGGGATAAATGCAATGTATGCTTTGTGCTAATAAGGGGATGAGTACAGGAGGGATGATTATTTGTCAGCGGGTTAGAGGCAGGAGTCTGTATGCGAGGTAGCCACCCATACTAAGGTGCTCCTATCCAAGTAGCAGGAATGCTATACGCTCACCTTGGAGTAGTGGCAACCAGGACACATAGGCAGGCTATCCAAACCAGCAGGCAAGTTCGTAGTCTAGACGTAATAGCAGATCAGGGCAGGCAGCAATACAATCGAGGTCGAGTAACAAAGCAAAGGGTCAAAATACCAGGAAGTCATACGAAAGGTAGGTAACGCAGGCAAGGGACTACTAGAGACAAAGCTCTGCAATAACCAAGCGCCATTTTGTGGAGGAAGTTGGTATTTATAAGCACATGTGGTTCTGTGATGTCACAGGAGGAGGAGGAGGCTTTGGCTTCACTATTATGCACTGTGTCTGCACGTTCCACTGACAATATACTGTTGTCAGCAGCAGGGGGCGCCAGAGGCATTACTGGATCTACTGAGCTCAGCTGAGCTTCCACATGGATGATGAAGGGATGATGGTGGTGACCAGGGAATGTGGCTGGATGATGAAGGGGGAGATGGTGGTGACCAGGGAATGTGGCTGGATGATGAAGGGGGAGATGGTGGTGACCAGAGGATGTGGTTGGGTGATGAAGGGGGAGATGGTGGTGACCAGGGAATGTGGCTGGATGATGAAGGGGGAGATGGTGGTGACCAGGGAATGTGGCTGGATGATGAAGGGGGAGATGGTGGTGACCAGGGAATGTGGCTGGATGATGAAGGGGGAGATGGTGGTGACCAGAGGATGTGGTTGGGTGATGAAGGGGGGGATGGTGGTTACCAGGGAATGTGGCTGGATGAAGAAGGGGGAGATGGTGGTGACCAGGGAATGTGGGTTGATGATAAAGGGGAAGATGGTGGTGACCAGGGAATGTGGGTGGATGATGAGGGGGGAGATGGTGGTGACCAGGGAATGTGGCTGGGTGATGAAAGGGGAGATGGTGGTGACCAGAGGATGTGGTTAGGTGATGAAGGGGGAGAGGGTGGTGACCAGGGAATGAGGCTGGATGATGAAGGGGAAGATGGTGGTGACCAGAGGATGTGGTTAGGTGATGAAGGGGGAGAGGGTGGTGACCAGGGAATGAGGCTGGATGATGAAGGGGAAGATGGTGGTGACCAGAGGATGTGGTTAGGTGATGAAGGGGGAGAGGGTGGTGACCAGGGAATGAGGCTGGATGATGAAGGGGAAGATGGTGGTGACCAGAGGATGTGGTTAGGTGATGAAGGGGGAGAGGGTGGTGACCAGGGAATGAGGCTGGATGATGAAGGGGAAGATGGTGGTGACCAGAGGATGTGGTTAGGTGATGAAGGGGGAGAGGGTGGTGACCAGGGAATGAGGCTGGATGATGAAGGGGAAGATGGTGGTGACCAGAGGATGTGGTTAGGTGATGAAGGGGGAGAGGGTGGTGACCAGGGAATGAGGCTGGATGATGAAGGGGAAGATGGTGGTGACCAGAGGATGTGGTTAGGTGATGAAGGGGGAGAGGGTGGTGACCAGGGAATGAGGCTGGATGATGAAGGGGGAGATGGTGGTGACAAGGGAATGTGGCTGGATGATGATGGTGGTGACCAGGAAATATGGCTGGATGATGAAGGGGGAGATGGTGGTGACCAGGGAATGTGGCTGGATGATGAAGGGGGCTGTGATAACGAATGAAGGTAGGTGGGTGATGAAAGAGGGATGAAGATGCAGCACTCACCTGTTCCTCTGTTTGCAGTTGCATTCATTTTGTCTTTCCATTCCCTGCCTCTTGGCTGATACGGGGAATACCAGGATATGTTTTTGGGTGACAGTAGGGCCCTTTAGGAACCCCTGCCACCGACCTCCTCACTTCCATCCCAACCAGCAGTAAGGTGTCAGTATCTGGAATATCTGGGACAGCCGGAGAGGAGTGACAGGTCAGAGGTCGACTGGTAATCCACATTAAAAGCCGGGTTTCCAGTCCAGAATCCAGCCAGTTCCCAGGTATATACTTGTCCTGTCACATGGGGGTGGGAGACGGTCTCCAGCTCTGTGTAGCTCAGCAATGAAGCAATATAGACCTCACACAGCGCATTATATTGGGGGAAGTAGCAAAGGTGGCTGTGCATAAAGAGAACCTGTTACTTCAAGTATCAATATTCCAATATATCTCTATTATCAATGTTCTGTTACAATGTATCATTATCATACAATCTCTGCTTTCCTGTATCACTATACTATGTACCAATGTTATCATCTATTCTCTTACAATGTATCATCGCTATGCACAATGATTCCTCCGCTGTATCACTCTTCTAACCCATCACTTCTAATAGAGAGAGATCCCAATGTATCCCTAATATTAGACCTAATCTAATGAGTCACAGATACAAATATAAAGGCATTCTGATGTACCAATGTTATCACGCCTCTAATACATTCCGAGAAGAGGGGAGATTTCAGAGCAATTACTGATTTTATGTTTCCATCATTAGCACAAAATGTCTCCAAATCTTCTGATTACTCAAAATTTCCTTTATAAATAAAAAATATACTCATGTGGTTTTACAAAGTGTTTTTTTTAAATTTCCTTTCTATTGGTGTATTTTATTGTTTTTTATGTTTCTTCCGCAGAAAGAAAACTAATATCGAAAAAAGGAATTTATTACATGTGAGGTGACAGTGGATTGTAGTACAGTGCTGTGTCAGGGTGTGCAGGGTGGGGGGTTGTAGTACAGTGCTGTATCAGGGTGTGCAGGGTGGGGATTGTAGTACAGTGCTGTATCAGGGTGTGCAGGGTGGGGATTGTAGTACAGTGCTGTATCAGGGTGTGCAGTGTACTTTTTTTGGCATTGGGTCACCTCCTACAATTCCTACCCGACCTAAGGGCTCTGGTGTGCTTTTTTTTATCATATAATAATATAACTGTATAGACATCGGAGGGGGCGGAGCTATCATATAATATAACTATATAAACATCGGAGGGGGCGGAGACAGGGGCGTCGCGAGGCTGTTACCGCTCCGGGTGTCACCCCGCCGAGACGTCACTGCTCATGCACATGACGTCAACACGCGCGTGCGGCAGTATTCTGATACCTGCCGGCGGCCATCTTGGTGATGGACGCCGGCAGAGAGAGGAGGGTACAGTCACCCGTACAGCATACCGATAAGGTACGCCGCCGGGTCCCCTCCTCTCTCCTGATACTGTCGGGCGTTCGGTCCATGACCGAGCGCCCAACTTTTCAGAGGGGGGGGGTGACACCAAAATGACTTAGTCATCTTGGTGTCACCCCTCCAATGGTGGCACCCCCCTTGTGACGCCACTGGGCGGAGATATCATATAATAATATAACTGTACAGACATTGGATGGGACAACAGATTCCAGGGAGTGACAGGAAGCAATGTAATGATACCTCAGGTGATGAGTAGTCAGAGTTTCCCCTCAGGGCGACATTACTGGGATGTGGATGTTGGGGGTCATCATACTGGAGTGTTGGGGTGTTACTCCGGTATAACCCGAGCAGACATCTATTCAGAGCTTGGAAATAATAATGTGTCCTGGTGCCTGACGAGGAATTCCGATGAGTTATCAGTAAAATATAACAATAAATCCGTCACTTTATCTGGTAATGTCAGGATACCGTGCACAGGGGTCCCCACACCGCATGCAGGTATCTATACGGGAGGACCAAATACGTGACCACACCAGACAATACTTATGAACTTATAGTTTTATAGACACTCCAAAATCATATAAACACAAGAAACCCCCCAACACCCGCCAGTAACATGAAATAGCCAAACTAAATACAAACAGCAAAATCACACACAGGCGATAATGAGGAAGGTGATCCTGGGGAGCCACAGATCAGGAGACCTCAGAGGAAGGGGTCAGGAGTCAGGGTCCAAGGAGGCAACGGGATACAGGATTCAGGTATGGCGACAATACTGAGGCACCAGCCTCACTGTGAGGAGGGGTTAAATACCCTCCCAGGTAGCACCAGGTGGAGACTGATTGCCGACAGCTGGGAGACACCTGCAGGTGAGCACCGGAATTGCAGGACCTGGTTCCAGCGCCACCTGGAGGTGCTCTGGTCCCTGACAGGTAACTTCCTAATAACCAGAGTCAGGATATATCTGGATTATGAGGCCGGGCAGATCTCTTTTTATGAGTTGGGTGTCCCCATCCGACACCTCCACACTACTACCCAAACCTTCACCGGAGCCTCCATGCTGCGTTATATGTAGGGGAAGGTTGTGTAAAGATATGTAGGGGGAATCAGGAGATGTGATATGTCTGCCCGGAGACCAGGGGGCCGAGACTTCCTCAGGGTCACCTATAACTCATATGTCTGTAAATCATCTCCTACTGGCAGATACCGTGCTCACCAACATGCCAGATTGTAGACTACAGCTGCCGGCATGCCTCAGAACATGGCTGCACGGGTCATATCACGCAGTACAACTCGGTTTTGCTTGACTTGTAAATAAATATGTAGATAAGGCGACTGCAACATAATCCGTATTATAATTTGCTGTTATTGGTGATGATGGTAACAGTATCATGTGCAGTACACGGACAGAATTATTCAGGGTTATAATACGATTTCTCTTTAACTTGCCCACTATCGGGGGAGCTCCTTGAATCACTCTGAGTTGCGGCCGATCTTGCCCTCGGACCAGCCGCTGGCCCCCAGGGTCTTCTCGGGCACATTGGGGCTGAACTTCTTGTAGGAGAGTCGGGTGAGCTTGGCAGAACTTCGCCTCCTGCCCACCACCCTGCCCGCCCCGCAGCCTCGCACTGCCAAGCTAAGGAGCAGCAAGGCACCACAGAGCAGCAGCAAGATTGAGAGCAGCTGCATGGGGCGCCCGGGCTCCCTGGGGCTTCGGATCACGGGAGCTCCATCTGCCATCAGCACCCCGCCAGCCATGTGAGCAAGGGTGTGATTAGGGTGTGCCCAGGCACACACGGCACACCCCGTGCACACGCCTATGTCTTTATCTCTGTGCCATGAAGCAACATAGAGCTCACACCGTGCTTTATATCAGGGGATCCGGTGATTGAATGGGGCAGGGTAGCATGGGAAAGGAGAGTATCAGTAGCAGAGGAGGTTGGGCATGAAGAGAACCTGTCACTTTGTCCTGATTGTGTCACTTTAATTATCATTGTTTTAATATTTCACATTCTATTACGTTGTATAATTATCATAATCTCTACTTTGCTGTGTCATTATTCTAATGTGTCACTTATATAAACTATTCTCTTACAATGTATCATTACTGTCATGGTGCAGCCACAATATAAAAAGAAATAAGATTGTTTTTGGGCTTCTTGTCAGAAACATTTTGAAGGAGACGGTTAATTCAGAGCGTCTACAAACTAATTACCAATATACACAACAGTGGCGGACCTAAGGAACAAAGGGCCCTGGTGCCACCTCATTCAGAAACTCCAGGAAAAAATTACCGATCTGGAAGACAGGTCCAGACGAAACAACAACATAAAATTCAGGGGGATCCCTGAATGTGTGGGCCCCCCCGAGATTCTGCCATTTTTGCAGCAGTTTCTTCACACTTTACTGCCGAACTGCTCCGGCCCTGAACTCCTGCTTGATCAGGCTCATAGGCTCCGTAAGCCTAACCACCTGCCTGCATCTGTTCTGAGAGATATCATTGCCAGGATTCACTTTTTCCACATCAAAGAGAGACTCATGTCTGCCTCCAAGCAATCTCCTGCCCTACCCGAGCCGTGTTCCCACATATCGCTATTTGCTGACCTCTCGGCTGCTTCGGCCCAGAAACGCAGGGAATTCGCCCCGATCACTAGGGCACTCCGTGATAATCAAATGGGGTTTTCCAACTAAAAAGGTCATTATAGGGACAGTTTCACAATCAAGATGTTTGTTTAGTGGTAAAGAATGTGAGAGGAATCTATTTTTACATTCATCCATTTTGGGCTCTGCCCGGTTCTTGATGCCACTAATCCTTCTTCTATCTTGTGCAATCTGTGTAAAAGCCCAAGGCCAGGTACACTATGTCATTATAGGGACTCTCATTATAGGGACAGTCATTATAGGGACAGATTTGCAACTAAGATGTTTGCTTGGTGATGAATCTTTTTCTGCAATTATCTTTTGCATGGCGGCAGGTCCCTGCCCTGTTCTAGGTGTTTCCCTACTTCCTTCTTCCCCGTACAATCTGTATAAAAGCCTCAATGTCTCATCAACGACTCCTAGATATCGATCATGTCTCCAGCAAGCGCATCTCTCCTTCTACTTGTCCTGTTCTGTGCAGGGACCGCCGCCATTGGTGTACCCCCTCCTGAGGAGCCCGTGGAGGAGGATGAAGCATTGGGTAAGAATTGAAAATTGATGTATGAAAAATACTTAGTTTCAAATCTGATTTGGCTTAAAGGAGAACTATGGGGTCAGGGCTTTTCCCCATAGTTCTCCTTAGGGTAACGGGAGGACACAAACGAGCTTCCTCCCGTCACCCTAAGCTCAGTATATAGGGAGCTACAGCTCGCGGTATACTGAGACGCCGCAGCCTGAGCGGATCCCGACATCGATGTCGAGATCCGCCCAGCTGCGTGAGTGACAGCTGGCTCTGCCTACCTAGAGGCAGAGCCGGCTGTACCCGCCCCCCTCCCCCGTCCGTTTCGCCAGTCAGCGCTGGCAGATCGGAGCGGGGAGAG